CCGGGGTGTGCGGGCCATTGTGTAGACGCAGACAGCCGAGCCCTGGAAAACAGAGCTGGTGGGAGAGAGGGGGGGTGATGTGAGGGGGCAAGGGGGGCACTGCCAGGCACAGGGTGGTGGGGAGGGAGCTCGACCTGGAGGTGGAGAAGATGGTGTAGACCAGCGGGTTGCGCTTGTCCCTTGTCTGCAGCAAGAAGACGTCACCTGCAAGCCGGGAGGGCGTCAGCGCTGCCCCAATGTGCCAGGGCCACCTGTGGGCACCCTGGGGGGCCACCCCCACTTCCCCACTCACGGAGCTCATCGAAGTGGGTGTCTGCCCCATCAGGACCCGGCACGGCGCAGACAAGACGAGCCTTCAGGAAGGTCGTCCACTTGTTCACCAGGCTGCGCTGCCCGCCCACGTCGTTCTGCAGGGAGAGGGAGGGTACCGATGTCAGGAGCGGCGGGTGGCACCCAGGGGCACCAGGAGGGTACCAACATCAGCAGTGGTGAGTGGCACCTGTGGGCACCCCCAGCCCGTAACCCACCAACCCACGGATGCTCCCACCCGGCAGATCTGGCCAATGCGGGCAAAGCTGGGCTTGTGCCGCTCCACTGCCGTCTCACGGAAGAAGAAGTAGATCTTGTCATCATCGGGGTCCTCGCTCTCCGGCACCCAGAAAACAGCCACGAACTTGGGCTCTGGGGGCAGAGGGGTGCTGCCTCCAGTGCCTCAGCTAGCACTGCTCCCCTGGGACCCTAAGGCACCTGCCGGGGTCCCAGGAGGGTGCAGACACCCCCCCTCCCCCAGCTGCAGGGCAGAGGCAGAGTGAGGGTGGGAACTCCCAGGCAGCTGGGGTCTGCGGGGGGCAGGGGGACCCCCCAGATCACCCCCCATAGGCAGTGGAGGGCAGGGTATGGCCAAGCCTGGAGGACTCGTTGCCCTGATGCCTCCAGGGAGCAGCAATGCCGCACTGGGGCGCCAGTGGCCCCACTGCCCTCTCACTCCCCAGCACTGACCGTTGATCCAGCGGGAGTCGTGCTGCTCAGTGCGGATGGAGGGACGCCGGCCCAGGCTGCGGAAGATGGTAAAGTCACGGCCCATCAGATCGGTGGCCACCCCAGAGTAGAGCTCCTCGCCTGGCAGGCACCGAGGGAAGCGTTACAGGGGACCCCCTGGCACCCCCCCGCCGTGCTGCCCCCCCGGCA